GAATTCCTTTCTGGGCGACTTCCTTCAGTGTCCCCCACCAACGACAATCCTCGTCTCGTTTGGGCCCCAACCAGGGAGGCATAAATTATCAATCGAGGTCAATGCTGGTGCTGGCTTCTCCATACCCCTTCGCCAATTCATGGCTTGATCGCCGAGTTGCTTCTTCCAGCCTTGCCTAGCACTTGTGAATAGAGCATGGAAAGAAAGACGATGGAAAGGTATTCGTAAAACATGACCGAAGCACCGGAGGAGGTGAAGAGTGATCAATTCAGTAAAAGGGCGGCTACCAGTGCCTAACACGATGGCCCACTTCGTCACTACTGAGTCGAGGTTTCCGTCAGAAGCGAGCAATCCCTCGATGACATCGGTTTTCGAACACCGAAAGATGCCGAGCATCCTTGAAGTGAAGTGACCAGGTCTCATATTCTTAGCGTTAGACTCTGTGAATTGCTGGAGCTTACACCCGTTCCTTAAGACGGAGCCGGATGTCATGGCGGAATCACGGGTGTCTCAGGCTTGCGAAATCTGCTGTAGCTCTTGCCAATAGTGAATAGATCTCCTCCCCAACACTAGTGCCTGCAGTGACCAAGCTCCGGATCTACTTAATCTTGTTAACTAAAACAAGCTGATCACCGCAAAGGATGAGTGCAGACACAGGCTCCTACCAGTCTTGCAAAAATACTTTGCGCTTAGAAGGTGCAAAGTGCATTCCGTATCTGGATACCTCAATCGCCAAGCGGGCCAAGGCTTATAGCACTGTTCATTATCACTCAGCAAGGCGACATCAATGGCACATTCTAAGCCGGAAACTTGGCTCCCTGGAATAAATTTAACCCCCTCATTTGGAAGACCAGATAATGCTTTCCACAGAACTTTCTGTATGATAAAGTTGAAGAAAAATGGGGATATGGGGCAACCTTGCCGTACTTCGCTGGAAACGACAAAAGAGGCGACAAGCGGCCGCGGACCCTATACCGAACTGAGGTGTTAAGATACAACTCTTTAGGGACACATACATACCTTTCAGTGTGGTTCTATCGACGGAGTCAAAAGCCTTACGAATGGCCATGAACTCGATGATTGTTGGACTTTGGAAGAAGAACTGTGCCCTAACATTTGTCAGAGTGTGAAGGTTTGATCGATACATCCACGACCTGCTCTAAATCCAGCCTGCTCCTCGCGAGTCTGCTCATCACATGTTTGGTACAACCTGCTAAGTAGGACAAAAGCAAGCAGCTTCGGTGCTGTTGAGATAAAACTTAGATGTCTATGGTTAGCATAATCACCAGGCAATCCTTTCATAAAGCTGAGAGCAACAATCGGTTCCCTTCACAAAGACGGAACCTGCGCAGAATTCCAATTCTTTGAGAATAAAACATGAAGTTCTCTAACAAGCTGCACCCACCATCTTTAAAATGGATTGAAGGAAGGCTTTCGAGAAGCCGTCTGTGATTGTAAAACGGCAAACAATCAGCTTCAAAAATTGTTTCACTGACGGCTAGGGGCTTCTAACCGGCAACTAGAATGAAACAGAATAGCTTGGGGGAATTTCCCGTGGTGAGAGCACGTCTCATCTCTGATGCACTCTGCAACCACTAGGTTTCACGGTCCCTACGAAGACTCGTGTTAAGTGCACTTCTGATTATAAAGCAAGCTTTGTAATACACTTTTCCAGCCGGAATTGATTGACACGCGTTGAGAGGAAGCAGAGATTTAGCAGAAACCCAGGCTCTTGAGGTACTACAGGATAAGCTGTAACTTACTATGGCAGCAGAATATAAAGCATTCTTGATAAGCGACCTGTGGTTGTTAACGTTATCAAGTAGGAATACATCTAGCTTTTCAGCTATTGTGGTTTAGAAGACTCATTAGCGAGATGGATTGGAAAGCTAATCGTATTGTAACGGTTACTGTCGCATGCATTTGGAGCACCCACCAAAGCACATGGATAGCTTAGTGCAAAGCCGTGCGTGATCGGAATCAAAGGGGTGCTCCAGTGCGAGCAACCGTTTTGTCTGCAACTCCTTCCTTTGTGAGTTATAGAAGTGTGTTCGATATTGGTCCACCCTTAACTCGAACAGCTGAGAGGTCACGTGGCATTTCGGTGATTAGAAAGTCTGAAGTTCGTGCTGGCGAGAAACACGCCATGGTATGAGCACAGAGCCAACAACAGTTCTCCGTTTTTGTAGCGACAAGAATGTAGCCTAAAAAGAGCCTCCTAGATGCGCATAGTTCGATGACAGCCGACCAGCATCAGCATTCACGACTCCTGCCAAAATCACGATATCCGTCCGGATGCTTTGTTTAAGAGGTTGTAGAGCTTTTTGTTAAAGCTTTACTTGATTGCATCTGGGTTGTTACCGGTGGGAGTACAGATTGCACTTATCAGAATAGCGACTTCTCACCTTACACAAACCCCTGAGTCTCACTGCAAATAAAAGACTATCAACTGTGATCCATTCCAGCAACTCCGTTTCAGCTTTTTTACAGAGAGCAATGCCAACACCAGCAAGACCAGAAGCCGCAGCCTCAGCGTCCCCAGAAATGAATAAAAGAAACCTCATTGAATGATTAGACGGGTGCACCAATCGAATAATGGAACTGGAGTTTTGAATGCGAGTCTCTTGAAAGCAACACACATCAATTGCAAGGGATGCAATCATACTAGTTAAACCCACTTGTTATCCTATACGTAACCGAGGTTCGCACATTGAATGTGGCCAGTTTGAATGGGAGTCGTAGTCGAGGCGGAGCATCAGGTGGTGGTAGCGGATTCGATGAGACTCGGAATTTGGTCGAAGAAGGACAAGACTGATCATAGCCAGGATTTCCACCGGTGGTACTACCGCGTGCATCGTCAACCGAAGAACACGTGAGTGTGGAAATCGAAGAGAAATTGTGAACGGATTGGAGATGGAAGAGAAAGTTGAGTACGGTTTACGAGAGTGTTCATTTGTGCGCATGGAAGAACAGTCAAACACAATGGTAGAATCCTTCATGGTTGTTTGGGTTGTGGGGTGTTATACTAATCGATCGCTTAGTCCAAAGTAGGAATTGGTATTTGAGAATGCAATGTAGCCTTTTCGCAGTAAAGCGCGCTGTACAGGGCGGCAAGGTTGGTCCAGATTAGCCGTTGGCCAACTGCGCAGTTCGTTGGCCTCTCTTGGCAACCATCGGCAGCCGAAGGTTGAATACTCAGTTCATTCGCCCTTCAGATGAGGCTAGACATCCTGGGTGCCCAGTCCACCTCTCCGTCACAGAAGCCGGTGTGCATAATGTAGTACTCCTCATACGATACCCGTGTTTGGTTTCGAATCAGGGTTAGTTCTTTCCTCTAGGCAGACTCTCAGTCAGCCAACCCGATGTGAAGCGTTGGGCATTCGCTTTTGTCCTCTCTTTTTCGTGGGAACAACCCCAACTCCGAGAAGGCAAAGAGTAGAACTTCTTCAGCAGAGGCTGTTACAGACTCACGGTCACTTGTGAACATTTTGAGAGATTTTTAAGGACGAGTAACCATTTCGGGGCTTGAGACACCCCCATGCGTTCATACTGAGGGATTCTGAGGCCTTTCAGTAGTACTACGAAGATATCGATGCTCAAACACCCATTACCTTTGCTTATCTATTTTTATCAGTCATGTTTCTGAGTCGTATGTAAGAATGGATCTGACCGCCGCAGCTCTACCTCAAACTTTCAAGGACAGTCGGATGTCTCAAGGGTGCTACTCATGGCTTAGGTGGGCAAAGGCCAGTAGGGCCTTCTTTTTGCTTGAAGACACCTCATCAGTTAGCTTACCGTTTGGAAAAATGTAATGGCCCAGGAAAGTTAACTTGTCTACTTTTAGTTAGAGACTCTCCTGAAGTGAAAAGGTTAGGTGAAGCACTTACAGGTCTTACAGTAGTACTTCCTTCTATGAAGGCGAAAAAAGCATCCAAGATTTCCTACATAGTTGCTTAGACTACCTGGAAAAAGTTGCTACTTCATTTATTCTTCACTCAAAAGAACAATACTTCACATAAGCTACAGCATTTGGGGCTTGACACTTGTAATTAGCATAAAGTTTGCACTGTTCAGGAGCTACCTAATCCAGTGAGAATAAATTTCAGCTGTGCATTCTCTGTGTTTGTGACTCGCAGTCATGCAAGTAGGACTGGCGTCCAAAGTGGGACTCGGTGAATCCGCACCTCTGTTGATGGTTCATAATTCGGGTAAAAGTTCCAAACAATACTTCCACCTTTTTGAAAGAACGAATGAGTGTTGCGATGGCTTGATGTATTATTTCTTGCACTAGTTAAATCTGATATTACTTGAATCGCAGTCAGCATACGAATGCTATTCAATACAAAAGAAAAGTGATGTAAGTTAAATGAACTCTAATCGGCCCACTGAAATTTGGGATCCTTTGCCCAAAAGCGATTATTTTGTGGCAAGCCTCAAATACTCACATAGCTTAGTCCGTTTGTTCCGTTTTCGTTTTCTGATGTTCCTGTGCACAGTTGCGTCTTGATATGTCACCCACGAAGGATATATATGGACATTGATAGAACTTTGTGGAAGACGGTGCCTTTATGGCCCATTTTTATGCATTAATTAGAAGGCTTCGAAGCCCCCTGGTTTACGTTTTTGGTTAAATTGTCACGATTTCCGCGATAAGCTTACTAACCAGTGACGGTCTTAGGCAAATGATATTTCTCTCATATTTCCCAGGCTTTAATTCACACTGGTGCCTGACCATAATCACGCCCCTTACGAATGACCAACGATAGTTTGTGATTCGAAAACCACGCACGACCCATTCCATTTCATCACTTTTATACCTAGGCTGTTATTTTCCGTTTTATTTCGTTTATTTCTTTTTTGTGTCTAAGTTGCACTATTGTTTTTGAATCTCACGTTTGTGTCAACTTAGTAAAATTCCCTTAGGGCAACTTAGTGCGAATCAGTTGGTCATTTTCATTGGCATCTGGCAATTATTTGTATAAATTCCCCTCTTTCCACAGTCTTCGATCAATACACACCAGTCCACCATTAAAGCTGAGCAAGGACCTCTGTCGAACGGCCCAAAAACACGCAAGACAACTTGTGAACGAGCAATCCGTGATGAGGTTGTCAGAAATCAATTTCGGACAGAATGTGGCTTCGATAAAGACTAGCATGAATAACGCATTATCCGGTATGTGATATCCATTCGAGTGACTGGTCGGATAAAGATGAGTTGGAATTGAGTTTTTTCTGTTAGTATTTGCTTGAGAGATGAGAAGAAAGGAAGCAAACAGCCATTGTATTCCCTAAAGAGTTAGTATTCGGCATTATTTTGATGCACTGATATTAGGATAAATTTCAATATTTTCGTTCACTTTCTTATAGTTCTTGAGCACTTTGTCGACGGTTTCGTCTGATTACTGCAACTTTTTAACATTACTGGTTACTGCTGGTTTGCTAAAAACGAAACTGATGAGGCGTCGCTGACAATACATTGAATAGATTGAAAATAGGTATCGAGGTGAGTAGTCAATTCCGCGACTATGTGGTTATTCAAATTTGAGAGCCGGTGATCTCAGTGACGTTTGATACGATGCATAAATTGCGTCATCGCAATAGCATTCCACTCCTACTTCGAAAATTATGGGGAAATGTGGCTGTATTCATCCGAATACAAGTAAAATGATTCAGGAAATAATGATTTCGAATGAAGTTTGGGTCACGAAGTTCATTGTGATCCTTTTTCGAGAGGTCCAAATTGTCCAGAGTAGCTGCACAGATCGACCGATTTAGCTCCATCTGTGTTTGACCCTCGAATTTGAATTCCAGACGGAATCGATAAATCGGTATTGAATGAATACTTGGCAATATCTAACGAAACAAACCTGAGCAATACAAATGAGATCATGTGAGCATCAGAAAAACCTATATTAATGTTATTTCTCTGTAAGAGGTTTGAAAAAAGAACCATTTATTTTCCATAGAAAGTCATATATCACCAATCATCTTCAAGTGACTATTGATGCCTAGTTCTGAAATAACATTTTCCTGACACAAACTTAACCATGCATACCTAATCTGTCAAATCTATGCGTATATCGGATTTATTTTCCCTAGAATGGGAGTGAACGTGATTCTGTGTGAGTTTTTGGTTTGTGTATAGTCAGCACAGGAATTGAACGCTGGTAACAACTTGACTTTGAAGCTTAGTTATGGAAATGCATTACGTGGTGGAAAAAACCCAGTCAAAACTCGAGAAACAATGGTAAGAAGATCAAGGTATGCATTTGAAGTTCCATTTAGGAGTTAGTTCACGAGACATAGATAAACCTGAATTATTCAATCAGTTCATCTCTTTTATATCTTTCTTTAAGTGAATAAAAATTTGATTTGGAACGCAGATTAGGTAGCTCAAATATAACTGATCCGTGGAGCGCTACCAATAATTCCAGTGCTCTTTTTATGGAAATCAAGGGATCACATGCCATTTTCAGCTGATTTACTTGCCTTGCGACGAACCATCGTTAGTTACTTTTTATAAATTCGAATTTCTTACACCTGGATTGTTACCTACGTGCGCAATGAGATTACCGACATACTGTTTGTAGGGATTCCACAGTGAATGGCGTGAGCAGAGTGATCTTCTACCGAACACCCTGTTGACATCAGTGCCAATATTCACATGCGAAATACTTCCTATTTTAGTTCGTGAAATATTCCTGTATTGTGACTTTGGAAAACATAACGTGGCGAACACAAATCTGTCGTTTCGGTACTTATCCTCAGGCCAGTACGGTACACATACACCGTTTTAGAGTTATTCGAAATGTGATCCAGAGTATTACCGCCAAAGCACAAAGCTGAATGCCAACTCCGTTTCCGTTGCATTTGTGTGGGCGCATTAACCATCAGGTTCACTAGTCCTGTGTGTTTGTCCCACCATCACGTGGACCTTCGGCCACGGGAGCTGTAGTGTCTTGACAAACTTTTGGCCTATGCAACCTGATTGCAAACGCCTCGGTCGTAGAGAGGATTCGTTGTCTGACCCCTTCAGAGCGGTTTGCCGACACACGATGGATAACGATAAATGGCCTATCTCGCGTTAGTGTGTGATCCGTATCGATTACATGGGCCAGTATTGGGCTGGTTACCGTCTTATTGATCCCTTTGGTCAACCATGTAGGACAGTGTTCTTGAACTCGATCGGACAAGCGCCAGGTTGTTCTTCCGAAGTACCTCGCTCCACATGAGCAAGAGTAGGACAATACATAGCGAGAGGTAGAATAGTCAGGCAGCTTGTCTTTGAGTTTCAGTTGTAAGCACGATTTACTGTTAAAAGAGATTTGCAGCTTGGCTGCGTAGAATTTATTTGTCACCGAGTCAGATAACCATTGGGTCAGTGTTTCTGCAGCCCTATCTCCTTCGAATTCTATCCGAGCGAATGCGATCTTTTTCGGGACGTTAGGGTATATTGGCCGCGGATCTGCGTTCATGTATTGTTTGAGAAAGCTATTTTGGTATCCATTTTCTCTGAGTGAGTTGCTGATAGATTCCAAAGCCTTCGTAAGCTAGCCCTTGGACCATATCTGGAAGGCTCTGTAGGTCCAATCGAGTTCAAGAACACTGTCCTACATGGTTGACCAAAGGGATCAATAAGACGGTAACCAGCTCAATACTGGCCTGTGCAATCGATACGGGCCACACACTAACGCGAGATGGGCGATTTATCGTTATCCGTCGTGTGTCGGCAAACCGCTCTAAAGTAGTCAGACAACGAATCGGCTCTATTCAAAGACATTGTAATATGATGCCCATATATTTTAATTTCCATCACCGTTGGGCTCTACGAACGTATCTCTGGATATTCTTACGTGTTTTTTGTGTCTTGGTACGATGGATCTGACCCCGAGAATTCTTTTCCGGTTACTTCTCAAGTTTGTCAACTATGTCACCTATCAACTTCAAATCAAGCTGAGAATATCAAATCAGTTCCATTGTGCTGCCCCTTCTACCATTCGAACACATATCTGCACGTTTTAAGGACGAGATTATGATAAGTATAAGGGGTGTTTGCATCTCGCAATTTGTATCTTCAATCTATTTGGCTGAACTGAATGAAGAGGACCCAGTGCTTTATTTCTGCTTGGGTTAAGGGAGGGCGATCGTTTCCGTTGCAGACTCACTTTCCACTTCGGAAACTTCGACGACAAATGGTACCCGAATTTCACCAGTATTTCGCCCTGACAAGTGCCTGTAACATGCTTGAACTGCGTGTTTCGATACTCTTCAGGTGGACGTATCAAGTACTCGGTATATACATGAAGGGACTGTAGAGATTCATAACTAATCTTGTGGAATGTAGAATGAAGCATTCTTCCGTTTGGATTCAACTTGTTTGATCTGCAGAGATATGGAAAGAAAGGAAACTCCGTTAACCGAATCTTAATGTGTGTATCAAAAAACTCCAGTAGTTTCATCAAGGAAGATACGTGTGGTGATCTGTGTCTTAGAGTAAAAGTTTCATTAAACTAAGTAAGGGAGCTTCTGCAAAATAACTTCTATGCGCTGCTTGTCCCGATTGTTAGAATTCATCAGTGGCGGAATATCACAAAGTATTTTCTGTGGCTTTTGTGATTTGATTGTAACCCGGTCTTAAGAAAGATTGGTCGTGGTAAGGAAAAAGTCGATTGACTACCGACTTTTCCCAAGGCGCTGTGCTACCGAGCAATAAACACTTACAACGTATCCCATGGTGTATCGTTTTTTCGATACGTTCCAAACTGATCTCGATTCTAGTGCACGAAGGAATCACGGTTGGTCTACAAAAGCCGAATCATTCATCTGGTTGAATATGCATCCTTATGAACATCTTTTGTTCTAGGGGTTCTGGTTGCTCGATGCTGGTACAAGGAATCGGAGAACTACGATTATTCCGAGGAGAATCCCGTGAACGCCGGTGAGTTTTCCGTCTGGATATTCCTCCGAGAGTTTCACCCAAAGATTTATAAACGTGATGGAGATGTAAACGTCATTTTAAGGTGCAAATATTATATACATATCCGTTCAGTAATTGCTTACAGTTTCATTCCTTTTATGATGCACCGAAAATCCGCTGCTCTTGGCTTTTTGCGAATGCGTAACCACCCCAATAAAGATGTTTAAGTACGTCTGCCAGTGGGAGATTAGCTTGGCTTACTGTTGGCTGTACAGAAATAGAATTATCAGGAACAGCACTCACAGATAAAAACATTTGGAAACAATGTAAAGTCAGATTAGGCGCACTCACCAAAGTAAAACCACTGCCGTCACACTCACTTATCTTTTGTATCCGTAATCCTTTCTATAGTACAGAATTAAGTAAACATGGTCGTATTAGGTGGATGCACCCGACCAACGAGACTGGCCAGGAAAGTGTGAACAAAAATGCCCAGAGGAGAGTTTTTCAGCAAGTCAAGTGGTTTACGGAGTTGGATTACCACCACGGAGGTTGGGGGTTCGAATCCTTACCATCACCGGTTAGTTTATCGGTAGACGGTATTCTACTGTCGTCTGGCTGGCTACCACTCCAGATATGTTGGGACCTAGTTCGGTTCTCAACTCAAAATCTAAGGGTCTGGTATGGTTCGGCTATCCCAATAGTTTAGTGGTCCTTTGTGGCTACGAGGTGTATACCCATTCCACCGCACTCACGCGTAAACAGGTAAAAACACTAATATTCTTCTATGTGTCCCTTAGCCTTTCGTCCCTGTCTTAGAAGCTGTAACAACTGCGCCATTTAAGTTTGGTGATCAAATGAAAGGCAACTGGAAGAGAAATTACTAATGAGTGAATTTTTTCCGATACTAAAACTCTTAGGTAAAATCACAAGCAATAAAGCAAAAAGATGCAGACAGGCAAAGTAGATTATTTTGAACTGAATTTCGCTGGTGTTCGCGTATTCGCATGTGCGCGAGCTCGTCTGTTCACTCGCATTTACTAATCAAAAAGTATGGGTTACACGTTTGTCGTTTTTCATATCATGATTTTCACGTAAGTGATCGACAAGTCCCTTAAAGTTCTGCTTCTTTGGTCTTCACAATAGTATAATATAATCGAGAACGTCTTCGCTGGTTTAACCTCGTGGATGCCATCCACCTTGAAATGGAGGTGGGCCAAAGTTTGTTTACATGACACGACAGAATTTTTCTTATTGGTTGAACCATCTCGGCATATTCCATGTGGTCTTTCAGACCACCTGATTCACAGTATTTGGACGCCACTGACGTCATACAACGCAACTAATAACACTGTGTAGCGAGGATTTCCTCAAGGTGCTTGTCTTTTAACTTTGACCTTAAACCGAATATTTTTTAGCGTAAGGTCGGTTCCATCAATGTATCCTCCCTTGTAACTACAGCAGACGACAATGATGCAGCTAGAATCTGAGTGAGCCAACTGATCAGAATCCAGCTGAAGCTATAGGCTCTCACGGTAAGATACCCAGTATACAAAAAACCCTCTTTTCCAGTTTAAATGCTAACTCTTTATGTCCACGGGGTTCTTTTAGTAGAATTGATGGTACTGTTTGCAAGAGTTCATTTGGATCGAAACTTATGTTCCTAATCTTTAAAATGCTTGCAAGCCGGCATCCGTCGAAATTGATGAAACAGATGGCAAATCGTTGAGTTACACTTATCAAAACCTCAGAATGACGCGAGCATTTTGATATGGATTTCATCGTGAAGCCTTTTGAAAATGGTCCTAAATACTAGATAGTAATCACACAGATGTCGACTTCAAATTTAATGAGGACTGGAGTTGTCAAAAGGTATTACTTTTCAATGTCGCTTGCAGTACAAAAGTTCACATCAACAGGAACGTTTATAGGTACTGCCTTCAAGACTAATTTGTCGCGATCGGAAGAGCACCAGCCTACGCAGAATTATTGTTTGATGTGCGGTGCAGGCAGAAACGTGTAGCACTGATGTCAGTGGCACATAGCTCGAAAAAAATAACTGAGTTGTTTTTCATAATGCTATCCCTCAAAAGGAGCGTCATACTATGCGTAGACTGAGTGGCTGTTTTTCAAATATCTTCTGTGGTTTGCTTGCACACTGGTTTGTCCAATAAAATAAAAATGTGAACTGTTCAAATCTCTTCCGTTCTTGCCTCAACCTATCCTTATCTTTCCTGGGCAGGTCATTTTACACAACTTGTTTGGCGTGACTCAACAAAAGTTGGTTTTGGTTGCGCAAAGGATCAGGACCGTGGAATTATATACATTGTCGCGCACTATTCCCCGACAGGTAACGTGGACGGTCGATTTGTGACAAATGTCATGAAGCCAGAAGTGTGTAAGTAAAACGATACCTCAGGATAAAATTGATTTGAGTGTTAAATTACATTCCCGCTTATAATTGCTGGTTTTCGGTTTGTTGTACACATTCAAATTACGGCAACTAGTCGAATCGATCAGACCCGTGGATGTTCAGATGCATCCACTTATCGTCTTCAACTACAAACTAAATAACAGTAATGAATGCCTCTTAGTTACAAGCAATAGTGTAAATTTAACAATACCAACCGACTTCGTTGATAGTCTAGATGACAGTGCACGAATTTTTCTGTTCTCAGTGAGCAGCAGTACAAAGCGACACATTTAGATTATTTATCTGTGAAAGAAGGGGAATATTGAATGTGCAGTGAAGCACGCTTGCAACAGCCGATGATGATTCTAATTATGCACAGTTCTCCAACTCCGTACTAAAACTTCCGCTCTATATGCCCTAATAATATGAAGAAGTAATGCTTTTGCACTCTTAAAAAGAGCGCAACGAACCATTCGCTGAAAGAATTACAGCGAACGAACAGCTACAAATTAATTCTGGAAAGCAGAAAAACGGTTTTTCTCGATCGTAAGTGGTTTTCTAACTACATCGTCAGCCTTCAGTGGTCCTCAATTAGGATAAAGTTTTGATGACACACGGAAACGGCCACTTATTTACCATCGTCACGTAGGTTCTATTTCCAGTTTGTGACGTTTTTTTCTGTTTGCTGGCATAAAGTCGTTCGTCTAGTCCAATGACAGCCAGCCACTTGGAACGCGTTTGAGTTTTTACGGATCAATTCAGCGTATCCCAAAGGAGTTTTCGTCATAAAACTTGCAGTAAATATTATCGATCTCAGCAAGATGTTATTTAAAAGTGACCTGAAGATCACTCTGCTACAGCTGAGACCGGATCACAAATAATACCTACGTGAAACTTTCAACGCAAGTAACAATTACCCCATTGGCCATATCTGGGCCGTGCTAATTGTGCTTTGTACAATTATTCAGTCAAGAAGAAGCAGTTTACCGAAGACCGACCATTTGCCCCTTCTATTCTGTTAGTAATTCATGTAGTTCAGCAGTCTGTCTGAGAGTTCAGGTAATCTATAGCCTCTTGAGTGTGCAGTTGGTTTTCAAGCCAAGCATATGCCCGCATTCTTTTCAAGCAAACGTATGGAATAGAAGAGGTTACCCTTGTGATAGCTGGAACCAGCGGTGCTGGAAGTATTAGGTGAGGTGTTGTTCTCAAAACTGCAAGAACTATCGCGAAGTAATATGCAAACATTGTAGTTATCGGCCTAATTTACAGTAGAACAAACTTTACTATACCATTAGCGTCTATTCCTTCGGAGCAGTTTGGTCTTTGCCAGCTCTTGATGGGACCAGTAGATTGCTACAAAAACGTATATGACTGAAGCCAATAGGCCTATCAGTGTCCATCAAAGTTGCCTGGAATAAACCCTTATATTTTTCGATAACTAATGCGGTTTCATACCTGCTAATCGAAAGGCCATCACTAAATCCAGAAATTGTTCTGTTATGAAGTTCGTCGTTTCTTTGAAGTAAACTATCAAACAAAGACCAGTGCACTTCTCTAAGTACTTTCAAAAATACCATTCGGAAAACTCATTTTTACCCATATGCAAAGGGTTTATTATATCACACTGTATTGCTGACAGTTGTTTTTTTATTGAGATTCCTGATCATCTAGGAAATGACTGTAATAGAGACTGATCAAAGAATGGTCCTACATCAGGTGTTCCAGTTGAAACGCATCTCCACCTAATATGTGGCGTTTGCCAATATCATAAATCTAATTACAAATAGAACCCATTGCTGTTGTTCGCTTGTAGCGAGCATGTTTGTTTACATTCTAGAGTAAGCCCATAAGTTCTCCGATCTATGCAAGGGGTGATCTACTTCAATGAACTTCAGTATTGCTGTCAGGCCATTTTAATCAAGGAGGAAGCCATATCAAACAGCAATCAAAATGTGCTTATGTAAAGGGCAAACAAACCGACTTTCAAGTGTGTCACAAGTGTGAACTGGTTTTCTGTGTACACAAGGCCTGAATTACTCACTGTAGTGCTTTTGATCAGCTCATAATAGCCTTTGCCAAATTGTATATTCATCCACTTGTCAACTGACACACTAGTTCGGCAAACGATATTCGATTTCTTCAATTGCTGACTGTCATTTCGGGGTCATCGAATGTCAACCGTTTTTCTTATTGTTCGTTTTAATGACAAGTATCAAGACAGTACAAATTTGAAGACATGCTCGTCCTTAAAAATGAAGGTATACGGTCGGCTGATTGCGCTCGAAATTATCGGTTTATTTGTTGATATTGCAATTTGACTGGAGGTGAACGGTTAATATCCGTGAGGAAAATATATTTATGTACAGCGAATATTTTTCACGTTGTGGAGAAATTTCCTTTCCTTTGGAAAGCAAGCCTGTTGCCAGCAAAACATTCAATGAGCACCCAAAAACCTGCGTGATACGTATTTTTTTAATGGCCAATGCACTTGAGAAAGTTTATCCCCGGCAACCAAAACGTTTTCTGACTACCACGGTTACCAAAAACGCCTTTTCATTGAACTTCAAAGTCTAAGAAATTAAGGCCATATTGTACGCTAATTTTTCATATAATCAGCATACGGAATAATCAGATGAACATATTTTTGCAAATGTGTTTGCCCTCTGGTGGCACGTTTCTGTCAATCTTGCAAATTTGGGGAATGTGATCTATTTGAAGAGTCTGTTTTGAGTTTAAAATATTGCGAAGATGTAGCTATATTAACAGAAGGCATTATTCCTACGTTCGCAAGTGGACAATTTCTACTTTATGCATACACTCAGATGTAGAATCTATTTTGAGAAAAGTATTTCAAAAACAAGTTAAATAATCCTTATTGTCCATCTTCTTACTTACACTTTAGTTTGAAAATAGAAAAGGTATTACAGTTTATGTTGCTTGCGTGCTCAAAATGATTGCTTATTTTGTTTTTCTTGTATCACTCATTAATTTGACCAATTTTTGTAGCGTGGCTTTCTCGTTTGCACCGAGCCAACTTGGAAAGGAATGATAATACTTGTTCTACATTAGAATCAGTGGCGTTTCTATACATGCTCCGTTTCATAGTTCATAGTCAAAGAATATTCACTAGTATGAGACTGTTTTTTGGCCGGACCCTAGATAAAACAAACCGACAAATACAGTATTTGTGGTTTTTACAATTTTTCCGAATTTCAGTCATTAGTGGCTCTTTTAAAAACACGCTTCTCCGGCCCGAACAAGAGCACAAAGTCAGGGAACGAGATGGTGTAAATGTCAGATTGTTAAGATAAATAAATCAATGTTCAGTGATTCGCGTCTAATTCATGTTAAAGCAATGTGGTTTGAACATATGTTGGTAAGCGATTCTTCCGAAACTTTCCACTTGATGCAATCGCATATATCATCAAGTTTGAGCGACGTAAACTTACCTGAAGGCAATCAAGAAATTCATATTCTGGAATCTTGATGCGTATGGTCAAACAGAAGACGTGTGCGTACACAAGTAATTAAGAGATCGAATGTTTATAGCATTCTTTTTTGGCTTTTTCCCATTTGTATTTCAAATTTCAGGGGATACAGCCGTAGCTGGATGGAATATGTCCCCGGCTGGTCGTCGGAAGATCGGGAGTTGTCGTTGCCGTCGAGTTAGGAAATCATACTTTCTCAGTTGATCTGACATTTGTGACATGTGACTTTATTTCATCTGTGTGTACGGATGCATGCTGAAATACAAATTAGTACAAATGATTTCACTTCATTACACAAAATACCACGGCCATACCTTAGTTGAGGAAGAGTCATTGCTGAGGGGACGGTTGTTTGTATATCCGTGGTTACAACAACAAAGCTCTATGACCTGCAGCAAAAACGCTATCTAATTGCAGTTCTTTGGCCAGATATCTTAAAAAAAGTAAAATGCAAGGGAAATATTAATTTATTTTGCTATTCTGGTAGCTAATACTTGTTTTTGGCTGGGCGAAAGACCGGTATAGGCAGCAGCTTCGCTCGAAGAGCTCGGAATATGGCAGTACCAGCGATCGGTCGATTTGCAATCGTTCAGCAAAACCCAGTAAAGAACTCTGCAGAGTAAAGTCCCAAAGTTAAGAAATAAAACTAAGAAAGAATGTTTCAGGTACGTAAAACACCATTAAAAGTGCGACCTATCCGGTGAGAGTCAAAAATGTCCCATCTGACCATGTCCCTTACCATTCAGTCCAGGTAGCGAAGAATCCCAGCAAAAACCTCTTTCTCCGGCTGATATATTTGCGTAATGATGTTTAGGCAGAATACGACAATTTACACACTAATTTTCATAGAGGAATATGACAGTATTGCGCCGGATAAACCAACAGATAGAGTTTGATCGGGAGCTGATTGTATGTCGTGTTTTGGCCTGAACGATAAAAATAATAAGTGGCAAAATTGAAGCTAAATAAACTGTAGGTTACAAAAAGGATTCGCGTTTTGTGGTCCGTTTTAAAAACTATCCAGTTGAGGGGCTAACTCAGATCATCGTGCGGAGGTGAACACTGAATCTGATGAAGACGGAAGAGGATGGAACCGACTTCTCTTGATTCACTGTCGTGAAAGGTGAAATATTAACCTACCAAATAGCAAAATATGTCATGGAGGTATTCGGTCTCAATTTTCAGGGGACGGGGTTTCTCTTTCGCAGTCCATTGTGTAACTTGAGTGACGGGGTACATGCTGCCAATGTATTGTGCTTTTTACAGCGGAAAATCAGAACACTATTTACTTTACCCAGATTACTTCTTCAGAAATTCGAAAGTAGTTTTTATGACGAATCATTGATGTTGAACCTGCAATAATTTGGAAATGCAAACTGACTGGGTTCTGCGAGGACTGTGAAGTAATGCAAGCATTCAGCCCATGACCACGGGATCTCCATTTATTCAAGGTCTCATCATATCCTTTCTGTATCACCGAGGACAGTTTGTCGAAGGCAACTGAGACGTGGTGAGTAAAGGCCCCAAATTCTCTCAATGAATGTGTGGTCCATTAGTACCAATTCTCAACATATCGGTTTCAACTGACGATATTCACAGTCATTGGCGGATATTCATTTTTAACCTCTGACCATCAAAACATTGAAGAAAACCCCCAGTTGTATATAATTTTTTGGTTTTCAATAGGACAACTTGGTCTCATATTCCTGTAATCAGTTGAGGCTTCAGCAATCGCGGATAAGGCAAATTTACAGTTGAATGCAGAAGCTGACATGAATGGAGCAGCTTAATCGAAATAGGCGAGTATAATCGTATAAATAACAGTGTATGGATTGTTGAAATAAGTTAGTATGTTTGTGCAATCACTTTGGGTTTAATAATTACACTTTTGCAGTACTGATTCGTAAATATCGATTTCGTTAGTCAGGCACTATTTTTGACTGACGCAAGAAAAGTTTAACAGTTAAATACTACCATTGTTATTAGTAGACAAAGTAGAAACACGAATATCTCGGCAATTGTCGTTATTCTTGATCACTATGCATTTGAGCTGTATATTTCGTGTGTGTGAGACATCTAAAACGTGCAATTCAGTACCGGTCCGACTTGCTTCTGATTCTTGACTGATGAGCAGAGAATTGCAGAACGAGCACTGTTGGGTCTGCGAAAGAAGAATTCTGCATTTCTACCCTCATATTATAGTAACAACCTGTTTCCTCAGTCTTGTAAACACAAATATTCATCGTTCCTAGGAAAGAAATAAAAGTGTATTGAAGACAAGGATCATATTCCACAGCGTGTAGCATGAATTATGACAGTTCAAGTCGAAACCAAACTTAACATTTGACGGGTACGCCAGTTCCACAAACTAAATACACCCGATATTAAAAACTTTAGGACCAGCTACGTCTTTTTGAAAACACTCATCAGTATTCTATAGGCAGTGAAAATAACTTTAAGTACATCATTTCAAAGAATAAACTAATCAAAAGCGAAATACTGCACAGGTCTCTAAAAGTAAAACGGATAATGTTAGTTGGAATATCTGCGTAGCAGAAGGTAATATAACCTTCTTTGTGTACAATACTTTCTCTCACTCCTCACACTTTGACGGTAATAATTGCTTCGCAATTGGTCTATTCTCGTGATAATAGGTTACGAATGTGGACTTCAGCTTCTATAATTCCTACAAAGAGGCGGAAATAGACCAGTCAGCTAATCCTCAAAGCAGAAAGGAATAACTGACGAGATGCCTTTGAAAAGATACTAGCAGCCGGGACGACAACTCCTAGATAGTACGGCCTAGGAAATGTAGTCAAAGAAGTTGTCCCACTGGGACGGGTTTTGGACACGTGTAACTCTCCATATCACGCAGTGGCAAATTTGTTGACTGGCTTATTGAAACCAGTAAGAGTGGCAATTTATAGGCACAGTCCACAAGACACTTCATTATGTAGAAGCTGTGAGGAACCTGGATCTAGAAGGATAGCGAATGATATCACTTGATGTTACTTCACTGTTCACAAATGTTCCGATCAGTGAAGCTATCAACTACCTGTGCGTTTATATTCAAAGTGCCGGAATCGATTTGGGTACCCCGTAGGATGAGCTGAAACAGTTACTATATGCCTGCACACATAATATCCAGTTTCAGTTCAACGGTGGAATCTATCGTCAGAAGGAAGGAGTTTCACTGGGATCACATTTGGGACCCCTAATTGCTGATATTTTTATGACAAAACTTGAAAATAATCAACTTCAATCCCTAATCCAAGATTTTACCTTGTGCAAACTATTCGTAGACGAAATCATATATGTGCTTCACACCAATCTGGACACGAATCTACTCCTTAAAGATTCTAACGATGCCCATCCAAATGTTCAATTTACTTTGGAAGAAGGAAGAGACAGTAGTCTATCATATTCAGTCAAATGCATAAGTCGCCGGAGTGGTTTTTTCGTCTAGTTATCAGTGCATAGAAAAGCTACATAGAACGGACAATACATCCATTTTCACAGCTTTGTACCCCTCAAAATGAAGGAGAATCTCACGTTGCTTGGTTGATTGAGCAAGAAAAATCTGCTCCAAAGACACAAGAAGAAATGAACTCCTTTTTCCTGCGGTGTAATTTCTTAACTAATGGCTATCCTGAAAGGTCTATCAACAGGGAGATGCAATAAAATGAGGGAAAATCAAGGGAGATAATAGCCGCTAAGTGAGTTCTAAATGTGCATTTGCCATTTAAAGACGACACGGAAGTTGAAATCATTCAACAAAGATTATCAGGGGTAATAAACAGAACATTCTAAGCTGCACAGTTACAAGTCCTGTTCGTTTCCAAAAGGATAGTGTTTTTTCGATTGAAGAACTTGGTGCCGAATTCTGCAACCTCGTTTTGTGTGTGTTCATTTAACCGGTACTGTGGAACTAGGTACTTTGGTCGTACGACAAGACGCTTATCCAGATGCGTTAGTGAACACCACCCGGCTTGACTGAACACGGGAGCAATTAGGGCGATTGCGAGTGCTGTGTGCTCAAGCCTTTTTAAGTCAAACCACTCAGTGGAAGTGATAAACACTTTTCGGTCTACTTACAAAGTTCAGGGGAAGCAATCAAGACTTGTCGAGTATTGCATCTTAACAACAAATGGAGCAGTGAGTATTCTTCTCTTAAATCCCCCCTGTGTGTAAAGAAACCATTTGTGCAAGAACTAAGGCTCTCTCTGTCCACGTCTTGTTCTCGAACACATGTACAAATACTTTGGAATAACATTTGTGACACATAATGCAGAAAGTATGTTTGAAAACTGGTTTTACAAGCTCCCCCAGTTTTTGACTGTGACTCCGATTCGTTCAGCTTATGTAGGTGTCATCGCAGCTGCGGGTGAACTGATAAATGACGTGAGAGGCATTCAGATTCGTGACACTGTTTGAATGGGCTTTGGAGGTTTACTCCTTTGGTGGTTTGCAAAATCTGCAATTCAGCTGTCAAGTAAGTGGGCTCTAGCGCACACTTCAGATTTTGACTAATCTGGTTGAACAAATAGTCACCTCTTAATCGTAACACTGAAATAACTAGTTTTTTCTCGACCCTGTCAACTGATATGGTCTTAGGCTTACGAATTCCAATGAACTTATCACGGTATCCATTTGCACAGAGAGTTTGGGTTATGAACCCTTCCTCTCTTTGCAGTTGGTCTACATTGCAGATTTCGCGTGCTCTGTAGAAGAGGGTTTTGGCCGAACCCCTTTTGTAGGCAACTAGGGCAAAACTGAAAAAATGAGCTGATTGTCCACTCCTTGTTGCCCTACGACGGATGGTCTTTGGGATAGTTCCTTCTGCAAGTCTTTTCATCAGGATATCGAAAAAAAGCGAGACTGTCTGACATTGTCTATTCCATTTTGCTGCTCTGCGCCCCATTAGAACACGGATCTGCATGTTCCCGTATGCGATTGGGATTATTAGACAAAAAATAATAAATTTCAGGACTCTGGCATCTCGGTGAAACCAGAATGCTCACCAGGAAGCCACCAAGGCATTTTGTTGATATGATCCATTTCTGAAATGTGCTTAGGTGTCACAGTGGGGACTCGTCGATCAGCTGGCAAAAATCAAGCGTGTTTAACGATCATGGGTATGTTGAATCGCACTAGCGACGGAGAGGAAACATTTCTACTCCCGAGTACACGACGAAAAGTACATA